AGACAACACATCCCATAAACATAAAAAGACAATCACACACTGCAAGTGTACACGTCTGGTCATAATTTTATACATGAATGAGATTGATAATTAAAGTACGAGATACGAGCAAGCCACTTTTGATCCGCGTTGAGTAGCTCCGCTCGTCTGGTGCCTCAGAACCCATATCAATATCAAATTTTATTGTCGCGAGTGTATGATGTATGCTCAAACACTATGAAATATTGCTGATGCATGCGTCGATTCCCGCAGTGCAATACATTTATTTAAAACCATATTGAAGAACACACTACCGAAGACGGAATTGCGAGACTTTGACTTTCGTTTAGGATAACCCAATTGACATTTTGTCGCTCATACCACTTCGACTAGACTAATAAATTTCATTCGAACGTTCCCGAACAAATTAGGCTCAAATTAGTTTGATTGTCGACAAATTTGTCTCGTTGACCTTAAATGGTGAAACGGACAACGCTAATGCATTCAAAACATCAATTTTGATTAGGGATGACACTCATATTGCTAGGGTTCAGTGCACAAACATAAAAAACACACAAATGTATAAGTTTTTATTTAGAATTAGGAAAAAAATATATAAAATATGTATTAAAGAGGGATAAATCCCTTTACAGCCGAAAACAAAGGAGGCTTGATTAATTTCTCACGTGCATAGCTGCCTCCAATCTTCGCGAACCCGAGCCGCTCCTCGTGGGACTGCACCCCCAGTACCGATGTGGTTGTACGCGAGCCGAACACGAGTGAGCCATGCTCAGCTCGTGTTTGGCTAGTTTATATTTCTAGCTCAAAACATGTGTTCGTAGGAAACGAGCCGAACACGAGTTGTTCACGAACAAAGAGTCCTTTTAACAGCCCTAATCACGTAGTCATAAGACGATAAGGGTTTGAACAAGATTTAAAAATTATTATTTATATTAAAACATCATTTGAATATAATTTAAGAATTTTTATTCTATTTTCTTAATTAATATTTTAATCGATTATAAATCTTTGTAGCCTTGTAATCAATTAGATTTTTTTAAAAATACTACATATATATATCTATATATGTAAACTTGATGAGTAGTATTTCGAGCCAAAACGAGCCGAACACGAATATATATATACTTGATGAGTAGTATTTCGAGTCAAAACGAGCCGAACACGAACAAACA